TGTACCGGATCCGGACAGCCTGCTCGGCCTCAACTGCGATTACATGACCTTCTACCGAACAGATGTGAACATTGGAAGAAACCCTCTTATCCAATGGTGCTATTCTCGCAACATACATCTGCCCTCGCGTTTCATCAAGAAGATCAATCGGACCGAGGAGACCACAATCTCTGTTAGAAAGGTTCCGGTGGAGGGCGAGTAGAAAGGCCATCGCAGAAGCATCACACGGGTGATCAAGCGTTTTCCGATTTATTCTACATGGCAGACCATTTGGAATTTGCAGATATATACAAGACGAAGTCGTGATACTCATCGTGAATGATATCATGGCTAGCCCATGGTGGTACCCGTCGCGAACGGTACACCGGGCAATCCACAAGTATTTGCATGAGACTTGCATTTATCACCACAAAATGTTTTCTTGTTTCCGTACAGTATCGTCATCGGCGACTGCTATTCTGGAGATGCCAGGTGCTTGGTGGTCAACGATGATACGATGCTACAAACATTACTGGTTACAAATTGGTGATGGACTATGCTCGTCAAGGATATGTGTTTTCTGCAGACTGCTGTGGATCTGTACAAGTACCTTATAGATAGCTTGCTGCATGTGCATCATTGCCCATGAGGTCTGGTAAAAGACCTGTAGCATTCTTATTTCACGCTCAGTTTACAGAACCTGGCCAAACTCGCGCAGAGACGTTTCACTGAATTGAGTAAAAGAGAAGCCGTGCGTCCATGCGCGTCGGCGTACGTTTGTGATTGGTTCCCGACCCAGGGATGAACCCAAGCCCGGGATGGGGGATGCTAAGAATCTCCGAGCCGCAAGGCGGAAACATCCAAAGGAAATGTGTTTTGAGTGCAGCCGACATGTACATGCGAATGCATTTGGCTCAAGACCTTGATAACAGAATCGAGAGTCGTGAGACAAGTGTTGGTCACCCCACGGGAGTCGAACCTCAACTGCCCTGTCAATTGACTGCGTGGTTGCTCCTGGCAGTATGTATGTAAGGTAATGTGTTGTATTGTAATGTAATGTAATGTATGTATGTATGTAGTATGTATGTAAGTATGGAATGTATGTGTGTGTGTATGTATGTATTTATGTAATGTAATGTAATGTAATGTAATGTAGTGTATGTATGTATGTATGTATGTAATGTATGTATGTATGTATGTGTGTGTATGTATGTAATGTGTGTATGTATGTATGTATGTATGTATATATGTATGTATGTATGTGTGTAATGTATGTATGTATGTATGTATGTATGTATGTAAGTATGTATGTATGTATGTATGTAATGTATGTATGTAGGTTTGTACACACGTACGTGCGTATGACGTGCGTATGTATGTAGTGTATGTAATGTATTGATGTAATGTATGCATGTCTGTAATGTATGTATGTATGTATGTATGTAGTGTAATGCAATGCAATGTAATGTAATGTGATGTAATGTGATGTAATGTAATGCAATGTGATGTAATGTAATGCATTGTATGTATGCATGCATGTATGTATGTAATGTATGTATGTATGCATGCAATGAAATGAAATGTTTGATGTATGTATGTATGTAGGTAATGAATGTATGTATGTAACGAATGTATGTATGTATTTATGTATGTATGCATGTATGTATGTACGCATGTATGGTAATGTAACGTAATGTAGTGCAATGCAATGCAATGTGATGCATGTATTTGTGTATGTACGTATGTATGTATGTAGTGTATGTATGAATGTCCGTCTTGTCCTGTCTTGTCTTGTCTTGTGTGTATGTATGTATGTATTGAATGTATGCATGTAATGAATGTATGTATGTATTTATGTATGTACGCGTAATGTCATGTGATGTGATGTGATGTGATGTAATGGAATGTATTTTAAGGTATGTATGCATTAACGTAATGTAATGTAATGAATGTATGTATGTAAGTATGGAATGTATGTATGTGTGTGTGCAATTAATGTAATGTTACGTAATGTAATGAAATGTAATGCATGCATGTATGTATGTATGTATGTGTATGTATGTAGTGTGTGCATGTATGTATGTATGTATGTATATATGTATGTATGTGTGCATGGATGTATGTATGTATGTATGCATGTATATATGTATGTATGTATGCACGTATGTATGTAATGTATGTATGTATGTATGTGTGTATGTATGTATGTATGTATGTAATGTATGTATGCAATGTATGCATGCATGCATGTCTGTATGTATGTGTGTAATGCAATGTAATGTAATGTAATGTAGTGTAAGTATGTATGTATGTATGTGTGTACTGTATGTAATGTATGTATGTAATGTAATGTACAGTGATGTGATGTGATGTAATGTAATGTAATGTATGTATGCATTAACGTAATGTAATGTAATGTATGTATGTATGTATGGAATGTATGTATGTGTGTAGTGTATGTATGTATGCATGTATGTATGTATGTATGTATTATTGTAATGTAATGTAATGTGATGTTATGTAATGTGATGTAATGCAATGTAATGCAATCTCATGTAATGTATGTATGTAATATGTGTATGTGTGAAATGTACTGTAATGTGGTGTAGTGTAGTGTAATGGAATGTATTGTGCTGTAGTAGGTGTCCAAAGAATAAGTATCAGACACGTCCTCACTGGGATGAATTTGTGTCTTGGTTCTTCTCATGTAAGTGATGATTGACGCAAATGGAGTTATAAAGATAGTTATGCTTCATCAAATCAGAGATTACATCACCCTAAGTCTACAAATGGCCTAAATTTCGGTTCGGGCCATTTTTATGTAAATCGAACACATTAGGTGAAGTGCCACTTAATTTTGAAGCTACGTATTTTTTTGGGGCCAACAAAACATTGAACCCCTGGCGCATTTCTAAAAAAATACGGAGTTTTGACACGCATTTAGCCAGCATGCTTGGCAACTAGTTCTTCATTGTTTTGTTTTTGGCGCCCCTAAATAAAGTTTTTTGACTCTTCAAGTACTGCCCCCTTTGTGGGATTGATCAGGGCAAGGTGTTGAATGAAGTTGCTTTGCCGTTTAAGCTCCATTTGTTGTTGGGTTTCTTTGGAGTTGGAATTATTTGAGGTTTGTTGGGGTTGTTGATACTAGGTGCCCATTATGCATTGTGTGTTGTACGCATATTGCATGCGTGTTGTATGCGTTGTGTATGCATTATGTGTCAACTATCATACATGTTGCACGCATTGTGTATGCTTGTTGTATTGCTTGTTGTATGCATGTTGTATGAATGTTGCACGCATGGTGTGTGCATGCTGTGTGCGGGTTGCACGTATCTTTCATGCGCTTTGTGCATGTTTCTCGCATGTTGTATGTATGGTTGTATGCATATTGTATGGATGACGAGTGCACGTTGATTGCACGGTGTATGCATTGTGGTTGCGTCTGCGTTTGGTATGCATATTGCATGCTGCATGCGGTTTGTATGCGCAATGCACGATTTTTGTTTGCATGACGGTTGCATTTTGTATGCATGATGTATGCATGATGTATGCAGTGTGTATGCATTGTGTATGCGTGGTGTATAAATTTTGTGCGCGTTGTTTGCATGTTGCATTGCATGTTGTGTGCTTTTGCATGCATGTTGTATGATGTTGTGAGCATGTTGTATGCATGTTGTATGCATTGTGTAAGTGTGATGCACCTATCTTGTATGCATATTGTATGCGTGTTGTATTTTTGGTTGGTGTCGTTGTGTGTGCATCTTGTATGCAGTTTGCATGCATGCTATAAACGTGCTGTATGCATTGTGCAAGTGTTGTGTATGAATTGTGTATGCGTGCTGTATGCGTGTTGCGTGCCTGTTGTATGCATTTTGTGCACACCCTTGTGTGCATGTTGTATGTGTGTTACACGCGCAAGGTATGATTCTGTTTGGGTGCCGTACGCCTTGCGTATAACTTATGTATGCGTGATCTATTTATGTTGCATGCATGTTGTATGCGTTTGGTAGGCATGTTGCACGCATGATGTATGCATCGTGTTTGGATTTTGTATGCATGTTGTATGCGTTTTGTATGCATGACATATGCATTTGGGGTGCGTGTTGCATGCGTGTTGTATGCGTGTGCTTTTGCAGTTTGTGTGCGTGGCGTATGCATTGTGTCTGCATTATGTATCGCATGTCATGCATGCTGCATGCATTGTGTATGCTTGTTGTATGCATGTTGTATTCACGCATGTCATACGCGTGCTGTATGCATTGTGCATGCATGTTGTACGCATGTTGCACGTATCTTTCATGCACTTTGTGTGCAGGTGTCATGCATGTTGTATGTATGCATGTTGTATGCATCTTGTATGGAAGATTAGTCATTCTGTTTCACAATTTTGCCTAACACCATGCGCAGACATAGGGTGGCGGTCAGGATGGTCGGGATGGTCGGATGGTCGGGATGGTCGGGACGGTCAGGACGGTTGGGACGGTGGGGATGGGCGGGACGGGGATGGTGGGACGGTGGGCATGGACGGTGGCGGTCGGGATGCTCGGGATGTCCTTTGGATGTCCGACTCGCGTCGCCCCCAATGTCGGATGCGGATTGCTTTGGTATTGAGTTGCAAAGGGCTATGGGTTTCAGCGGGCTGTCGGCGGGTAGCGGTTGCCGAAGTTTCCGGTTGGGGATGCTCGCGCTTTTGCGTTGTTCGGGTTTGGCTAAATGCAAGTGCCTCAGCGCGTAAACTCATCATTTCTCGCTTGGGGTCATGCTCGTATATGGCCTACATCTTTCTATCTGAGTGTTTTCTAACCATGAGCGGCAAGGAAGCAGTTCAGGAAACATCGGGGAGACGCGCAGAAACTTGCTTCTTGGACCAATGCGAAGGACCTGAGTAGGCCTGTCCGGCCTTCGCCTGTCTGATCTGTGATGCCTTTCTTGTGCACGTCGAACCCTGAAGCAACGGGCAGTTGGAGGGAGGGAAGGAAAGAACAGAAAACACTTGAACAAAGAAAGGGCGTTTCATTCAGGTCTTGGGCCCGGGAAGAATTACGACCCTTGCCACCACCTGCAAGGACATTCTGGAATTCTGATTGGATCTTGTGCTTTGCGTCCCACAGCGGCAACCCGTGTTTTGCCAGGAAGCGCAGGGTAATGCTTGTGCCAGGCCTTGGGGCCTTTGTGGCGACACGATGGTTTCTGTGCTTGCTGTGTCCTCCAGGTTGGGAGAGTTTGAGAATGTGCTCTCCAGCGTCTTTGTATCCTATTGCCGCGGGCCTGCGGATGGGGCCAGATGCTTCGAGGTGCAGGAGCGGGCTTACAGTTGCAATTCGACGGAGAGTGAAGGAGTGAAGCCATGTCCGAGGCAGACAAATGCGGCCTCAGCTCTCCCATCGACTTGGCGCAGGTCTCCTCAGGTCACGCGAGAGACGTGTCACGCGGCGCGATCAATGCAGGCTGGCCAGTATCAGGAGATGACGAATACCAGCGTAGCGTCTTGAGCTCAGAACAGGAAGACCAAGTCGAACAAATGTTGACAGAAACAGAAACACAGATGGTTTGTCAAGCTCGTGCGAAACGCAACGGTTGGAGTCTTAGCCAGTGCCTCATCATTCACCCTGCCAGACGCTTAATGCGCCGGCTCACCCAACTTTTCCCTTGGCGTGCTCCGAGGATTCCGTGTTGGTACAATCGCCTGCAAGAACAGACACAGGAAACCACAGAGGAGGAGGACAGTGGGAAAGAGTTGTCGGAGCCGTGCAATACGTGACGGAAGCGAGTCGAAGTCACAGGAGCGCAGCAAGCGTGTTGGTCTTTTAAACTTTCCGCTTTGCGTTACGTGTCTCTGTGCGTGGCGTGTCACGTGTGTCACTTGTGCTTGTGTCAGGCCACGCAAAGTTCGTGTGATGCCTCCGGCTGCTCCTTCTACAAAACTTCCAAGGAGCGAAGCCGAGGCTTTTGTTTGAGAAAGGAAAAGAAAGAGAGCAAGAGAGAGAACCAGGCAGAATAACTATTGGTGTGAGGCCGAGACAGATGTCAACCAACATGCTTCACTTCTTGCATTTGTGTTGCATGCATGTGCACTACTGCAGGCCTTGAGCTCACTACAATCGCATGAGTCAAAAGGTTGGCAGCTGCAGACTACATTGGTTTCTGCTTGTGTGAACACTACAGCACTCGCACTTGTAGTAACAGTATCGACCAATTTTAACGTGGTAGCGGAGCTGAGATCCTAAACATACAGGGGAGCTCCAGTACTCAGCAGCAAGTACTACAACCGCTGCAACAGCAATCGCATGCCAAACTACTACGACATGTCAGGAGAAGCAGCGTCAGTTCCAGCGCAACAAACTACAGGAGCAGAGAACGGGCCAACAGCAGACACAGTAAGAGCCACGACCACGGGAGCAGAAACAGAACAAGACAACGGCGTTCAGAGACTACATTGATACAAACTGCCACCACCCTTCTTCACTGGTGACTACTCCCAGTATGAAGAATGGCTGTTCAAACTACACGCATACCTCGGCCTCATAGACCGAGACTTCGACCTGGTGCCACAACTAGCACAAGTGGCCGCACGACAGATTGAGGACACAGACATCAGAACACAAGTGCTCGACCCTACACAAGCAAGCAAGCAGTAGACCTCTCCAGAGATCTACACTACATCCTCATCAACATCTGTCAGGGAGCAGCAGCTACAGCAGTAAGGCAAAACCGCTACAACGCAAATGGATGTGAAACACTGCGACTTCAGCCTACCAGTAGGAACAAGAAGCATTGGCTACCTTACCAAACTGCTGGAACCTACATTCAATGAAGCGCAGGTTGAAGAGCAATTCCTACAATGGGAATACGACACCAACCGCTACGAGAAAGACAACGGCACAGCACTACCAGATGGAATAAAAATAGCAATACTACTCAACAAGACCAAAGGAGCACTGCAGCAACATCTCCAACTGCGAGCTGGACAGATCACGAACTACATCGAGATCAGAGCAGTCATCCTGGACTACCTCGAGATCGACTTCAGCAGTGGGCGCAAACTACAACGGAGGAGCTGCGCCAATGGATGTTGACAACATATGGAGGAAAGGAAGAAACTACAAAGGCAAAGGAAAAGGCGACACGCACCCTCCTACAGCAGCAACAGTCAAGGAAGTGTTGAGCGACTACACCGAACACTCCTCGGACAGGTACGCGTCGTCAAAGCACAGGTCGAAAGCAACTACAGCATGACAATGTCCACGAAGCACTGTCTACGACCTTGGAAAGTACGACGTGCAGCATGGACGGTAAATCGCTACGTCATCCACTCAGACGGCTACACCAGCTTTGAAAGCCGCTGGGGAAGAAACTACGAGCGAGCAATCTGCGAATTTGGCGAGACGCTACTCTATCTTCCACCGCAACACAAGAAGCTTCCAAAAGCAGACCTACGGATGCAGAAATGCATCTGCTCGGAAAAGCTTCCGAAACCGGAGAAAACTACGTCGCAACGGAAGCAGGCGTACAAAAAGTACGAACTGTACGGAGACTACAACCGAACTTCAAATACGACCTCGCACTGTTAAACAAAGTTTCCGGCGCACCATGCATGGGCACCACGACGGAACACCTACAACCCGTCATCTGCGACACTGTTGGACACGCAACTACAACCGTCAGAGAAGAGAAGGCCCACGCAAGATTTCGGACAACAGACGAACGCGACGGACGACATCGTCGTGGAACCCGCGACAAAACAACGACGCGCCACACCACCTCCACGACTTCCGTCGACATCGACGTCAAGTTCACGACCGCCGGATAGCCATGGCTACTTCCACCAACCGGACGACAACATCCACCACTACCAGCACCACCTCGACAAACACTAAGACGTGTAACTCCGGAAGAAGTAGCGCAACCAACCAAAGCACAGAAGACCTCAAAGGACACTACAGTCAGATCAACGGAACAAGCGACCAACGAGCCACAACCACTACGACAGAAAATCAACGCAGTGACACTTCCCAACGAAACATCCAGCACTTCCTACACCAACGACGACACCTCCGAAGACCAACCTATAATCTTCGACAACGAAGGATGTGACGAAACACAACTACTGGAAGGAATGAAACACGAGTCAAATCAAATGAAACTACATGACTTCTACGACGAAGTAGATGCGTCTACAGTCGACGACAACGTCCTAAAAGAAGCAATGCCCACAAGATGGGCACACAGAAAGAAAGGGCCAGGAGTACGATCGCACAAGGCTACACGGAGAAGATCGAGGACGAAGACTCCGTCTACGCCTCTACACCAATGTTCACGACACTCCGGACACTCCTCGCACTACAAATGTCACGACAAAACTGGATCGCGCGACTAGGTGACGTCTCTACCGCACTACCGCTTCAACCGCTCCACGCCTGGCACTACGGCTTACTACAATCCGGGAACCGTCATGGAACTACCACATGCCACTACCACTACCAGACCTCCTCCACTACCTCTACAACCGCGACAAACTACATGATGTCCAACACAAAGCCATTACTACAATCCTTTGCAAAAGCATTCAATACTACGGCTTTATACTACTGACAATGACCAACCTCACACAACAACACTAGACCCAACTATATCGTTTTCTCAGACTACGAGCAACACATGACCTGCCCTGAGATTGACGATGAAAGACTACGCGGCGCCCCCAACTACATGACCAGCTTTTTCACCACGCACTACTATGCGACCTTCGACAATCGACTACAGATGGTCCAAGCCTACCGCCCCCCTGGGCATTAGCTTGGGCCAGGAGCTCAACCACATCAAGTAACTGCCTCACGAACTCCATCCAGCATCTGCGCTACTTCGTGCTGGACCATGAACAGCGTGAGCTACTGAGAGCAGCTTACTACTTTTTGCCACTACAGTAGAATTGATGAATAACAATGGTTTTCATCACTACTGCCAATCCATGATTTTTCAATTCAGTTGAAAAGGCGCTACAAAGACCTTTCAACTGAGGGGCCGTGTCACACTACATGCTTCACTTCTTGCATTTGTGTTGCACGCGTGTACACTACTGCAGGCCTTGAGCTCACTACAATCGCATGAGTGAAAAGGTTGGAAGCTGCAGACTACATTGGTTTATGTTTGTGTGAACACTACAGCGCTCGTTCTTGTAGTAACAGTGTCGACCAATTTTAGCGACAGAGAGAGAGACAAAGGAAAAGAAGAGGAAGAGGGCCAGAGGAGAAGAGAAGAGAAGAAGGGAGAAAGAGAAGAAACAAACAAGACAAGACGATAACAAAAGCTTGAAGAGGAGGAGGGTGAAGAAGAGGAAGAAGAAAAGAGGATAAGACGAAGGAAGTGAAGAACAGAAGAGACAAGGCGGAGAAAGAAGAGACGAACAGAAAAAAATGAGAAGAGAGAACAAAGGTCAAAATGAGAAGAAGAGCGGAAGAAGATTCAAGACGAGAATGACGAGAAGAAGGGAGGAAGAGAAGAAGTGAGAGAATAAGTGGACAAGAAGAGACAAGAGCAAACAAGAAAGAGAGGAGAAGACAAATATGAGAAGAAGATCTTAGAGAAGAAAGAGAAGAGAAGAAGCGAAGACAAGAGGATGAGAGGAAGAAGGTCAAGCAGAGAAGAAGAGAAATAAGAGAAAGACAAAAAAGAAGACAATGAGGAGAATGAAACGCAGATAAGAAGAAGCGAGAAAGCAAAGACGAGAAGAGAGGAAGAAGAGAGGAAGAAGAGAGGAAAAAAGAGAGCAAGAAGAGAGGAAGAAGAGAGGAAGAAGAGAAGCGAAAAAGACAAGATGACAAGGAAGAAGAAGTTTGGGGTTCTTGTGGCAGTTCCGGAGTTTGGGCTGCGCGGCCGTTCGCTTGCATTTGGCAGGCGAGGTACACTGTGCGCCTGAACGAGGAGCCATGCGCCACTCCTCGTGCCAAAGGCGCAGCACGCTTCATATTGGAGTGCATCTGCCACTCCTCTGCCATTTTTTTTTGCAATTCTTGTTTGGCAGATTTCCATTTCAGTTGCCTTCGCCTTTTCGCAGGCAGCGTGGGTGTGACCGTGGTGTTGGGCATGCTGGTTTGCGGTGCTCCGCCTGGATGGGGGGAGCAAGAAAGGATGAAGGGGAACAGCAGAGCAATCACAAAGCCAGAAGAGGAGAGAGGCGTTAAAATCACACTGTTCACTACAAGTGCAAGTGCCAATGTGTAACAGTCAAACCTGTAGCTGCTCCTTGGCAAACGATGAGAATGCAGTGTAGGTCTCTTCCGAGGTCTGCTGCTTTTGTTGCTTGTGTAGGGTCGCGTATGTGTGCTCTGGTATCTGCATCGACAGTTTGTCGTGTAGCTACTTGTGCGAGTTGTAGCACCATGTTGAAAGTGTCAGTCAATGAGTCGAGATTGCTTGTAGTTTGAACAGCCATTCTTCATACTGTGACTAGTCACCAGCGAAGAACGGTGGTGGCAGTTCGTATTTGTGCAGTCTTTGGACACGGGTATGGAGCAAGTTTAAACCACCACAAAGCCACGGGCTTGGTCTTTGCTTCCATTTACAAGGGTTCCTTTCTGGGTACCTGTTCTTCTTGACGTACTGTCACATCGTTGTCCTGCGATGTTCTTGTTCCCGTAGTCGTGGCTTCTACTGGTCTGCTGTTGGTGTGCTCCTGAAGTTTGCTGTGCTGATGCTGATGCTGGTTCTCCTGACATGTCGTAGTATTTTGGTTTGTGATTGCCCTTGCAGTTGTTGTGCCACTGCTGCTACCACATGAAAGTCAATCTTGCTGTTTACTACAACTGCAAGTGGCGTTATGCTGTGAAACTCACAAACAGTCAAGCCTGTAGTCTGCGCAGCTTCTGTTTTGCACGGGCTCATGTAGTGATAAGCTCAAGGCCTGCTGTCATATTTGAAGTCTGGAAACTACGAGCGAGCATGTTGTGAATTTGGTGAAACGCTACTTTACCTTCCACCACAACACAAGAAACTTCCGAAAGCAGAAATGCATATGGCTCGGAAAAGCTTCGCAACAGAACAAGACGTACTAAAAGCAAGAACAGTAGGACGACTACGCCCGTTGGAGCGGGTGACGTAACGATTTACTGTCCATGCTGCGTGTCGTACTATCCAAGGTAGTAGACAGTTTGTTTGTGGACATTGTCACGCCGTAGTTGCTTTCAACTTGTGCTTTGACAACGCATATTTGTCCAAGAAGTGTTCTGTGTAGTCGCTCAACGCTTCCTGGACTGTTGCTGCTGTAGGAGGGTGAATGTCGTACTGGGTGCTGTTACTTTGAGTTTTGCATTAAGGGTGCCTTCGCTGTCACTTTGAAGTACGCCTTGTTGTAGGTCGTTGATCATGTAGTCCATCATTGATGGTTTTGTGTGGAACCAATACTGCCAACTGTGCTAACTTCAAGTGCTGTTAAGACTGGTTTGGTCTTGGGAGCCTGTTGTGGTTTTATGTAGGCAAAATCTACTTGAACGATGGGTTGTCGTGATTGTTGTGTCTTGTAGTTGTTCTGGCGTCCTTTGCTCTGCGCGCAAATTGGACACCAGATTCTGTATGGTAGGTGAGTCGTTGTGGAGTTGGTTGCTGTGGTTGTCTTAGGCCTCTTGCTTTGTGTGGCTTGTGGTGTCATGTTTTATGTTCTTTGTCGTAATTTCCTGGGGAACTTCGCCGAAGCTGTTGTTGGTGATGGTAGGGGTGTGAGGTTCGAGCGTGTTGACTGGTGGATGTCCGTCCATCTGTAGGTGTGAACAATGTAGTTCTAAGTGATACGTGATGTCCTGTCCAGTATTCACCTTGTCTTTCCCAGTAGTCTTGGTTGTCTTCTTGTGCTATTGTGGTTGCTTTTGTTTGTGTAGTGTCTAGGTCTGTGGAAGGTTTTGCTTTGGGTCTCCATACCTTTTGTGGAGTTCGTAGTTGTAGCTTTGATTTTGTTGGTGGTGTCTCCATTGCATGTTGTGGTGGTGAGCTTTGTCTTGTTGGTGTAGGCTTTGTTGTCACCTGGTGTGTAGGTGACTTTTCTTTGGAATCTGGTTTCTCCAGCCCAGTCATCACCTTCAAGTCTTCTCTGTAGTTCTTGTTTCGAAAGTTGTTAGGTGTTCTTTGTAGTTGTTCTTACTCTTGCCCTTGCTTGTTGATCATGGTCAGTCGCCAATCATGTAGTTGGTCTTGTGGTATTTGGCAGCCGCTGTTGTGTTAGATGAAGAGTGCTTTGCGTGGTTGTTTGGGGCCACCAGTTTCCAGTAGTCGGTGTTTCCACCAAAAATTCGCCTTGCTTTGTTTTCTCTGTAATCTGAACCACAGCAACGGATTTGCCATTGTCTGTAGTCGCTGGATAGATGTCGTGTCCTGTAGGGATGAAGCCCCCAGTGTCTGATTAGGTGTGCTTGTTATGGCGCAGGGTCGTTGAAGCCGAGGTTATATTCTCGATCCTGAAGATGTCCTGCTTGTAGGGAACATACTTGATGCCATAGACAGGGAGCTTCTTGTTGGTAACCATGTTAGAGTTGTGGAACAGGGTCGTAGTGGTAGATCCGGCGCAAAGTCCTTTGTGTAGATGCTCCTGAGTCAATCAGCAGGTGGTGGTATGACTTGAAGTTGGAGTACTGATATAGTGGGTGATGTTGTCATCTATTTGCTTTTGCTTTTCTTTCTGCTTTGTGTTGGATGCATGCACAGAGTTGATTGTGAAACGCATCAAGGCATGCGCAGGGCAAGTGGAGAGTGAAGCGCATAGAGGCATGCGCAGGGAAAGTAGAGAGTGAAATGCGTAGATGCATGCATAGGGCAAGTACAGAATGAAGTGCAGAGTGCATGCGCAGGGACAGCAGACAGTGAAACGCATAGAGGTGCGCAGAGTAGACGGTGAAAACATAGAAGCATGGGCAAGTACAGAGTGAAACGCATAGAGGCATGCGTAGGGAGAGCGTGCAGTGAAACGCATAGAGGCATGCGCAGGGAAAGTAGACAGTGGAACGCGTAGAGGCATGCGTAGGGCAAGCGCAGAGTGCAGTGCAAAGATGCATGTGCAGGGAAAGTAGACAGCGAAACGCATAGAGGCATGAGCAGGGAAAGTAGACAGTGAAACGCATAGAGGCATGCGCAGGGAAATTGGACAGTTAAATGGGCAAGTGCAGAAGAGAAGTGCGCAGATGCATGCGCGCGGAAAGTAGACAGTGAAATGCACGGAGGGCATGCGCAGGGAAAGTAGAGAGTGAAATGCATAGTGGCACGCACAGTTTAGACAGCGAAAGGCAAAGGTGGAAACATTGACAGACTCAGGCTGCGTGTCATGGAAGATGCTTTTGGGCCACCCGTTTTCGATTTTTTGCTGCCTTCGATGTGACGTTAGGTGCTTGTCTCTGCAGCGTTGGCTGTGCATTCCGCTCCAGGTGCAGCCTTTGTTTTGAGGGGAGTGCGGTGTGGCATTTTGGGGGCGAAGGCGGGAGCTGCTGACGGACTATGAAGACGAATTCACCGAGACCTGAGACCTGAGACCTGAGAGCTTTGAACCGATTTGATTTGCGTGAGGCGCAAATGGTTTCGCGTTGAGTCAATGGAACACTTGGTAAGCTCTGTGTAAGCTTTCCTTCCTTGCGCGGCCGACAGGCTCACAAGTCCCGCGTACAGTCTCACAAGGGGCTAAGCGGCCAAGGGGCTGGCTAAAAGTCTGATGTTTCCAAGCGCTCAAGCCTGAGGGTGCGGCACATGGTAGCAGGCGGGCGCAGTGAGTGATACGCCAACACGTCATGAAGCTGAATGCAGGTCTCTCGCGCTTTCAACTCCGGAGGCGAGCGTGCGTTATTCGATGTGAGCGCTCTAGTAAGTCTAGTTCCCAGCTCTTACGGCGTCGTTTTCATGACTTTCGCGGCTGGCTTGACCTAGCGTGAAATCAGAGCACAAGAGGAAAAACTCTGGGCGCAGCAAATGCTTGCAAGGGATCGGTCCACAGGGCAAGGCCGAAGCCGAGAACAGTGACAAATCGCACGCCGCGTGGCGATTCCGTCCTGAGGACGTCGTTTCGAGAGCACTGAGCATTGACAGCTACAAGTGGAACACTGTTGCCGAATAATTTTACCGGTGTTCTGCCCTGCGTTTGGCAGCGCCCGTGGGTGGAGTGTAGGGCAGATGTGTTGACAAGAGCAGCCAAGTTGTAGAGACACGAATAGGATATAGCAACCAAGCGCGTGGTTGCAAATCGCACGCTTGTTGCATTTTCATGGGCCTGGTTCCAACGCTCGTTCTTCTTTGCAATATCATGCTGTGTTCTACTTGCGCGAAGACTGGGCAATCTCCGCGGGCGGCTTTCGCGGAAGCGGCGGATCCAAGCGAGGTTGCGCCGTTTTTGCCACAGTTATTGCGTTTCGTGTGGCTTGCAGATGTTTCCTATCTATATCTTTGGCCTTCTTTCTCTGGCAGTGTGTGTGCATCTTGGTTGCGCCGCCGGGAGAATATGTTTTGTTGGCTTCCGCCTTTCCTTGCATGTTACATGTTTTTCAACCTTGCACCTCTCCGATGCGCGCCACAACGGCTTTCAACCACATGCTGAAGTGGCATGTCTCTATGCTTGGCTCCTCTTGAGGCGTCTGCAGGAGGCCGATTCCGCTCGCCTACCGTGCCCGCATCCTCGCTCGCGGCCACAGTCTGCGCGTTGCCGTCCTGGCCCGGAGGCCACGCTGAAGGCGCGACTGAGAGTGAAGTAGAAACCGACATGACTCTGAGCTCAGAACCTGTTTTTTGAGCGAACCGTCAACCTCAGGTGGCTGACGCCAAGCGCCTCCTGGACGTGCTGACCCGCAACTCAAGTTCCCGCGTTGTGCTGCCGCCAGTGGAGGCAGGGGCGCAAGCTGCGCGCAAGGCGCGCAAGCCCCACTGCCACAGGCGCCCCAGAACGATGTGGAGTCTTTGACTCGGATGCTCTTAGAGACGCTGGTTTGCTGGCTCTGACAGACTGAGGTCGAACATTGCAAGTGTGGAGGAGCTGTCAGACTGCGAGTTGCGCAGTGATGTCCTATGAGCAAGGAGCTGCCGCCCTTCGATGTGTTTCTGGAGATCTTGCGAGGGGCAGGAATGGCAGACTGTGAGTTTCGAGGCTTACGAGGTATTGAGTCCAGTGGCTTTCCCGTGTCTTCCCAAGTGAAGACGCGTGGCTCCTTCCATGAGTTTGTGTACGTGCGGCAGCTGGGGCCCTACGAGCTGGAACTTGCGCCGTTTCGAGAGGTGGACATGTCATCCTACTGGACTTTGAGCCCCGCCGGGCTGTCCCACTACGTCCAGGGCGCTCCCGTGACCTTCGTGCCTCTGCAGCGCTGGCTCAACGAGCGAAGCTCTTTCCGGGCCCTTCGCCAACTGCGCTTCTTCCAGGAGCTTGGCTGTTGCGTATGTTAATGCATAGGCGTTCAGTGCTGCGAGACGTGCGTTTTGGAAGCAAAAGGAACACATGCATCAGACAGCATGCTCCAGAAACCAAGAAACTACGCTTTAGCCCGACATCTTTTGGCTTGTTTCTGCTTGCCAGGTCACCATGTCTGCTCGCCTCAGCGAATGTGATTCTTTCCCACTGAGCAGCAAGTCAAGCAACCTGCGTGCGTGAGGGTTCTCTTCTGCTGTCTCCTGTCCTCTTCTCTTTTTCCTTCACTTCTGTTCTTGTCCTTTGTTCTCTCGCACCTTCCCTTTTCCTTTCCTTTTGCTTGAAAATCACGGTTTTCATTTCCGCAGCTGGGAAATTTGTTCCGCGCCGCAG